CACTCCTGGGCTACTCTTTTACCAACGAATAGTGGGATTGACCGTCACATTATAACGCCCCCACGGCTGAAAGGGCGAGCATGTTTGGTGGGATGGGGATGCGAACCCGCGACCCGCAGATTGCGAGTCGAGCGTCCTAACCACCTGGCCATGCCGGGCCTTACCATGTAGTACGTTATAGTGTCGAGGAATTAATATTTAAGAATCACTATAAAATATTGAAAAGCTTTCGTAAAGTTATACAATCAGATGTAGAAATTAAACTGATAACAAGAGTAAAAGCAAGCTGCCAGTATCTAAAAATATAACAATCAACTCAAATAGATGAAATTACCCTGTAATATTACAGTAATTATTAATTGAAAGTAACACTAGTTGTACCTAATTATTCGATGGTTTAAGAATTTAGATAAGCAAACTTACCACATCACAAATGAAGAACTGTTTGGTCTTTTATTTGTTTGTGTGTAGTTAAGCACAAAGCTACACAATGGGCTATCTGTGCTTAGCCCACCACGAATATCGAAACCCGGTTTCTAATGTTATAAGTCCGTACACATATCACTGTGCCACTTGAGAACGTGTTTGGTTTGAATCGGTATTTAGGTCGCAACCTGGGAGGGTGAGGTACAATTTAGACCTCTCCCCCCCCCCACCTCCTTTGCTGTATTTTGAACTTACAAATGCTAGTGAAAAATTCACGAAAACAGGGCTAAAACCACATTATTTTAAACACTGTTTCTACTTCCCTTATCAGGACCATGTTCATGATTGTCATACGATACCATTTAGTGGTCGTGTATAATAAGTCTCAAAAGTTCACTGGTAATTCGTCACTTTTCACAAGATCAACATATTAAGTGCGTATTTCACATGAAAAACTCCTTAAATACACATTCAATACAGTACCAGTACAATGTAGTAAGTTCTGGTAATGTGTGATTATTAGGTTTTATACAAGTAAAGAATTCATAACTGTTTTAATTAAGTGTGGGATTATTGGCATAAAGTGTTTCTTTGCTACTTCGAGTAGTAATGTGTCATCTGTTTGTTTTTCCGGATTTTGGTATAATTGGATGAATTCTATAAAAGTGTTTTTGGCTGTTTCTAAAATGGGGTTTTTTGAAGAAACCGATTGCTGGTTACTTGTTCGATTTATGTTTATATTTTGATGTTTTTCTGTAGTTGTTTTCACATTTTTTCTGTGTTTGTATATTTTGTTTTATTTATATTTGGTGAGTGTACGGCTTCTGCATAGGTATATGTTTGGGGGATCTGAGTAAATGAAAACCTGTAGAGTTATTTTGTATATTTTTGAATTTTGCGCAAATCTACTCGCAAATCTACGCTAGTCATTCCTAATTTTGAAATGATAGACTAAAAGGAAAGTAGCTAGCTAGTAAACACCACCCACTGCCTGCTTTTAGGCCAACAAATAGTGGGATTTACCGTCATTGTATAACGCCCCAACAGCGGAAAGGACGAGCATGATTTGGGCCTGAACTGTAAAAAATAGAAAAGTGTAAAAGTATATCTAAGGTTGTTTGTTTTTGTTTTGTTTTTTCAGAACTTCGCTGAAAGCTACGCAAGGGGTGATCTGGGCACAGTTTGTTTTTGAATTTCGCGCAAAGCTACACAAGGGCTATCTGCGCTAGCCGTCACTAATTCAGCAGTGTAAGACTAGAGGGAAGGCAGCTAGTCATCACCACCCACCGCCAACTCTTGGGCTACTCTTTTTACCAACGAATAGTGGGATTGACCATCACATTATAACGCCCCCACGGCTGAAGGGGCGAGCATGTTTGAAGTGACAGGGATTCGAACCCGCGACCTTCAGATTGCGAGTCGAGCGCTCTAACCACCTGGCCATGCCGGGCCGCTGGGTATAGACGTCTCTAAATCTGGGACCGGCATGGCCAGGTGGTTAGGACGCTCGACTCGCAATCTGCGGGTCGCGGGTTCGAATCACCATCACACCAAGCATGCTCGCCCTTTTAGCCGTGGGGGCGTTATAAGTGACAGTCAATTCTACTATTCGTTGGTAAAAGAGTGGCCCAAGAGTTGGCGGTGGGTGGTGATGACTAGCTGCCTTCCCTCTAGTCTTACACTGCTAAATTAGGGACGGCTAGCGCAGACAGCCCTCGTGAAGCTTTGCGCGAAATTCATAACAAATAAACAAACAAACAAACCCTAAATCTGATAGACAAGAAAGAAGTCAGTCAACAGTACTTACTGACAAATCCTGGGCTAATCTTGTCTGACCGAACTGCCTACTTGAAACGCCCGAAAAGCAAGCTCGACCAAAATAACATATCACTGGAATTTCTCCTAACGAAAATCTTTGCTTTGCCTGAAAAGTTCAGCATAATCAGGTCTAATTTTATTAAAGTAACGTAGGTGAGGGTATTTGTATTTTAGCGGCTAACTTGAATGGTGAAAATTGTCTACGCATTCCTCACAAATGCCAAGGTTTTTAAGAACACGAAGCAAGATAAATCGGGTTAAAACATGGTAGCAATATTTACATTATCAAAATGTGACGCAGGAATTATATCGTCAAAACTCTTCATTTAATTACATAGGCAGGTTACACATTTATATTCTTATTGTCATTCTTGTTTAAAATAGCAGGAAAAGCTGACTTATTTACGATTTCAATGCCGAAAGGTGGCGAAGTATTATAAATGAAGTGGAATTTATCTTACTTCAAATATAAGTATGAGACCTATTGAATTCAAATGTTTCGCTAGCTCTCGGCCTTTAAACAAAAAACTCTGACATTTCTATACTGCGTTTATAAGTAACGTTTCAAATTGGCTTTGTCTCTCTCATCACAAACAAGTGAAACCCGGTACCAAATATACTTGCCCTTTCAGCCGTGTGTGCGTTATAATGTGTTGGTCAATCCCACTGTTTGAAAGTAAAAGAGTATCACCAGAGTTGACGGTGGGTGCTACTGACCGGTTGCCTTTCTTTCGGTCGACAGTTCAAAATTAGAAACGGCGGCACATAGCCTTGGTAGCTTTGTCTTAAAAAAACATAAACTGTTATTGTCCAGTTCAGCCTGGTATTGAACGAAAGGCCTCCTGGGCAATGACAGAACTAAAGATAAGTTTGAAAAACTATTTTTGCTCACCTCTGCTTTGGAATTACAAATGGTAAAATCAGAAGGAATTTGAGGGGGGGGGCAATATCTACAGTGTCTCTCATGTTTTTATCACAAATGTTATAGTTAATTAAATATTACTTTTTTCTTGGTGCAGATGTGGACTCCTGTACCAGAAATCGCTGCTCCACATTACCTCAAGACTGCAGCAACCTTCTGAACAATGGACACCATCAGAGCGGAATATACGAAGTGTGGCCAAGATTTCTGAACGAATCTGTGTTCGTGTGGTGTGACATGCAACATTCTGGTGGTGGCTGGACGGTGAGAAAAATCTGATTCCTTTCACAAACACCTTCCGACTTCCTTTTTCGAAGTATAACTTTCTTACACAATCACAATATTTTATCTTTAAACACTTCAAAAATTTAAGTGTCTTAATTTTGTCCTTTACAAGAACCAGTGCTCATACTTTTTAAATCATTATAAAAAATATACTGATTTGTTGTAAACTTCTGCAGGTAGAGGTATTGTGCCCCAGATTGCGGGTTTTTTAACCCTCCAACATATTTAAAAGGCCAAAAGATTAAAGAGCACTGCACATTAAAATTGAATTCAATCGAAGGCAACATCACAATTATACATGTTTAATGCAAAATAATTGTCCATTTGTGTGGTTCTTGTTGAGCACAAAACTACACAATGGGCTATCTGTGGTATGCCTACCACTGGTATCGAAACCCAACTTTTAGCATCGTAAGCCTGCAGTCTTTTTTAAATGTAAAATAAACAACCAACTTTTTCTTTTTTTTAATTTTAAAATCTTTTGAACCAAAATAAGAGCCCACATTTAAACAAATACAAGTTTACTGTGGAATTTTTTATATAAGTAAATGTGTAATCAATAACAAAATATAGTGTAAGTTTATATTTCAACTCATAAATTAATTTTTTCATCAAACATATTAAAATATAA